ATTCCAAAGAAAGATATGTCGGAAATCACAAAAGAAATTCTGCATATCGTATCGTACATATTTTATACTGGACACATTGTGTTAGGCTTAAAAAATTCCCTCACTAGTTTCCTATTTTGAAGGTCAAGCAAAGTCGCTGTCCGGTAAGCCACGTTCAAGTTAGAGCCTTCGTTTACAACGAAATTAGCACTTTTGATACTAGAGGACGCCACTTACTCATAAGTTGCAGTAGTATTAGTCTGCGATTAGACAAAACCCTGTATGGAAATCCAATTTGTAGAAAAAAATATTGTAGTTCAAGAGAGTACAGCGTGAGTAAAAAATGTCGATTAAAGGTGTGTTCAGGGACAAAAATGCATACGTAGTCTATGCTCTTTGTCCTTTTAACTAAATCAATCTTACTGTATATATTAATTACATAGTTATTTACGAATAGTGTCGAAACAAACTCGACAGAATGAATCAATTGACCAGGCCATTGACGTATTTAAAGCTAGCTGTATTTAGCGGCTTCACGCGTGAATAAGTGTGTATAGTATCCTATGTACTAAGTTTGGATATAAGCTATCCGTGTACCAAATTTCGTTTAAATCCGTTTAGTAGAGTATATATATCCGCTTAGTATATGCATGTGTGTCTGTATGTATATGTATGTGTATATATGTGTATATATGCATATCTGTGTATATGTATGTATAAAGATATAAGTTTAGTATATAGAATTAGAATATAAGTTTATAATTATTTAAAAAGCTGTATGTACAAGAGCGCAAAGCTGCAGACAAACTGCAATGCAGTTTCGCAGCACTAAGAATATATACTGTCTATGTAACTGTTTACTTGAAATAAATAAATAATAATAAATAGATTTTGCGTGAAAGAGTAATAAATATCCATCCGTCCATCGTTACAAACTTTTGAATTTATAATATTAATAGAATTATTATCCAGAGGGTCCAGCGCCTTAAAAAGGCCTAAATCAGTTATGAAAGAGAGAAAGAAAATGAATCTATTTATTCAAGTAAACTTAGATTTAAACATTTTTTAATAGTAATTTTTCATTACGTCACTTTTTCATTTCCCATTTGGAATACAATTTCAGCCAAGAAGAACAGGCAAGAAACTCATCTGTTGCTTTTTGCAAAAAGTTAAATTATATAAATAATGAATTTGTATGAATACAAACTACTAAGCAGTATCAGATGATAAAATTTTATATATATATATATATATATATAGTATAATAATTCAAAGAAATCAATAAAACAAATCATTTTCAGTGACCAGAGCAGACCAGTCCCTACAGGCAGCACCCGTTCACGAGTACGACGCATGAGCCAGCTATGATTGTGTTCAATCATATTTTAGGAAACTCAATAAGCCGCCACGCTACCACCTGTCTGGACATTTTACTGAGCATGATTTACTCAAGGCTTCCACCTACGTCATAGCTAAATTAAAATAATTTCATACTACGTAACAGTTATGTAGTATGTAGCATGAAATTGTTTTATGAAATTAATATTAAAAACAATACTTGCCAGAAGTTACAGTTAGGTTTTTATAGATGTTTTAAAAGGGACGCTGCTGCCCATCCTGAGTGACCCATGCCGGGACCTACACAGCGAATTAAACATTAATATCACAAATATTCTAATATATTAGTAATATAAAAACAACCGGATTAACTAAACTATTAAATTGTAAGCTGAGAAAGCCTAACTAGTTTCGGGACTATCCGGGACCCTTAAACATGAGTGAGCGTGACGCGAGCGCGAGCCTGTGTCTCGAAACTAGGCGAGCTTTCTCCTATACAAACGTACACCTAATCCGTTTTTTTTACAACACAGGGGGCAAACGAGCATGCGGCTCACCTGATGGTAAGTGACTACCGCCGCCCATGATCACCCACAACACCAGCGGCATTGCAGGTGTGCTACCGGCCTTTTAAAAAGGAATATGCTCTTCTCTTGAAGGTTATGTTGTCGTATCGGTTCGGAAATACTGCTGCTGAATTTTGATTCCAAAGCGTGGTTGTGCGTGAAAAACAGTGTCTTGAAAAACGCACAGTGTAAGACCGCGACTCGTTCAGATGGTTGGAATGAAATTTTAGTTTATGGCGGGTTGTACGATGGCGAAAATCAGCAGCAGGTATCAATCCGAACAATTCCTCAGTACACTCCCCATGATAAATTCGGTAAAAGATGCACATCTCTACGCAGTTTCAGTGGATCGAGTCGGACAGTAAGGCGCCAATCGTCAACAATTCGAGCCGCCCGTTTGTCGTTACATTAAAATATAATGTATTTATATGAAACTTTAAATAATAAAATATCGTAAATAATTCTTATATTAATGTGTCTTTATGATCTCACGTCTTTAGATTCTATCTACATTTCAGTTCCGAGAATTACGTCGTTAATAAACGAAAAACGTCAATCTGTTTTGTATATACTAGCAATTAGCAACTTTTTAAAATCACATATTAGACATAATGTATAGGTAATTTGCGAATTAACGATCCAAGATCCTTATTGACAAGTTAAACATTAGATCAGATGTGTTTTTAAACAACAGTTTCTTTCGAATAATTATCTAAGCTAATTGCTTAGAACTACCATTGTAAAATAATTTACCGCGTATAGTTAATTTATGGCTTTCCATAGATACGTTTCGTCACATCATACATGTGGTAGGAAGTGATACAAAGAGTTTTATAATACATTGTAGTATTAAAATAGGGTTGCCACATTAAAATTTTGATTTTTACTCAAACGTCAAATACTTTCTCTTAAAATAGATACAATTCACTAGGACTTTTATCCAATCATAATCTTGTATGTATTGTATTTCATTTCGTTTAGCCATGCACTCCACGAAGTAGACGACGAAAAAATACCTTCCATTTCGACTTTTATTTATTTATTACATCCACTTTTTATTTTATCTAACCCTCTCTTGTTTTGCTACCTTAATTAATATATTTTATTGTATTTTTACATCTTATATACCTCTGTCCCATTCGTGATTCTAATGTGAAGCAATTGTGTTTGCATGGCTGTGTTTCGGTTTCAAGGAAGGGATATGGCAGTAAATTTACAGAGTACAGAAGAATAACACCTTTTTTGAGTCCTCAGGAATGGCAATGCGTGGGATATAGGTATATAAGGGGGTATCATGGGCGAAACAGTATACTCTGTTATGTCCATGGTACTGCTCATGTCTATAGGCGACGGTTACCACTTTCCATCAGGTGGGCCGTCAGCTTGTTTGCCATGCTAACTTGTATAAAAAAAACTTCCATTCCCGTGAAAAAGAAAAACTAAGAGCAGGCTAAGGAAATTTAACGAGGTGAGAGATGGACAGCAGCGCTTCTCTTAAAACACCATCAAAGTCTTACTGCTGTTTCCAATTCTCCTGCCAAGCGTGGCAACTACTGACAAAACCACTCTTATGGAAAGACCTATGTTTAGCAGTAGACAGTTAATAGTTTAAAACTAAAAAATAATGAAAATATGATTAATTAAAAATGTCTAAAATTACATTTGTCTAGTATCAAAATCGCTTGGATTATTTTGATACGTAATTACTTGGATACAAAATCGAGGGTAAAAGGTAATTAATATAGTTAATTTTTTTAAATTTTTTATACGAGTGGGTACATTTGTTTCCGTCAGAGAGTCATTTAACATATTTATTAGTATTAAATGATAGCCCATGTGACGTTTGCATGTAACTGATGATACAGGAAATCAATTACCACTCGACCTTTTAGCTTTTTTATTGTTTTTGTTTTTTGATTCATCTTCACTGCATTTCTTCAGTCGTCAGCCATTTTAGGTAAGTAATATTTTTTTAATAATTGTGCCGGTAGTTTCATAAAATTACCTGTGGAATTGTTATTTTGTTGCTTGTATTTAGTTTTTTTTTATCAACCGACTTCAAAAACAAGGAGATCCTCAATTTGCTTGTTTTTTTTTATGTTTGTTACCTCATAACTTTGTCAGTTTTAAATCGATTGGGATTTTTTTTTATCTTACAGATAGACTTATAAATTGGTTCCATAGAAATTTTATTAAATTTGGTTTAGTAGCGTAGTTTTTAAATCAAATTGGTTTTGCCATAGGTACAGTAGGTTTTCGTGGAATACAATCATTTTTTATACAACTTAGAATGGCAAACAAACTGACGGCCCACCTGATGGAAAGTGATAACCGTCGCCTATAGACATGAGCAGTACCATGGATATAACAGAGTATACTGTTTCGCCCATGATACCCCCCATGCGTTGCCATTCCTGAGGACTCAGATGTTATTCCTCTGTACCTAGTAAATTCATGCCATATCCCACCCTTCAAACCGAAACATAGCCATGCAAACACAACTGCTTCACGGTAGAAACACGAATGGGACAGAGGTATCCAAGTAATTGACTTTTGTACAAAGTCTCCCTCTGGTAGACTTTGTTCTCAGGTCGACTTCCACGCGATTCCCCCTGGAAACCATCGTGGTTTATTTTTAAATTCGTGACGATGGACCATCTGACCTGCTTCATTCTCGTCCGTCATCCCACATTGATACTTAGCCAGCGTATATCTATAGCGTAGGCTGGTTACCATTTCATTATCATGTAAAAAAATTATAGATTTGTTTAGTTCGTGCTCCTGATGGCAAAAAAGTGTATTATTTTTGAAGAAATATTTTTGTAGTCGTTTAAAAATACATTATATGCACTTATTTCATAATATTAATTAATAAAAGAAATAATATTATTTCGAAATAAATCCTTCCATTTGTATATTCTGATATGCAAGACTCTAAATCAAAACGTGTTTGATTGACATAGGTATAAAGGCTAACTGCTACTTACTACCTAACATTACTAATAATGACATTGGATTAAATTCTGGGCAAAGGTTACATTGAAATCGAGTCATCGCTACAATGACGGAATTCGAAAAAAAAAATGGTATAATTTAATAGATTCAAGGCTTAAATGAATTATTAGCGGTTGTGCATGCCGAAGAGCAAATATAGAGTCCGTATGTAGGTACGGTCAGATTGTCAGAGGGTCTGGCACGTGTGGCACGCACGGTTATCATTAGGCAAATAAAAAGAAGAATATTTTATATTTCGAATTTCGAAATGTCTGAAATGTTTGTGCCTCTAATGTGAATCGTAATTTAAATATAGAAAAAAAAAAAAAAATTGAAAATGTTATCTGTGACATATTTGTTTTTCGCGCCAATATTGTTTAGTGTTGTGACAACAATGTATAGTTCGAAATCTTTGGAAGGTTATCCTGCTGGATATCTTGCAGATTGTAAGTGGAAATTTTAATTTAAGGTGCAAATATAATTCTTATTCATATTTATGTTAACTCTATTATTTTGCTGCCTTGAAATATTAACACCGCGTAATATAATTACATATTAATTAGGTAGTTGTAGCAAAAAATTGGATACCTTATGATATTATTATAATTTCATATTAGGCCGCATCCTTAATTTTATACATATTATTGTAACAAAAACATATTTAAACTTCAGCTTTGTTATAAAATTTTTAACACCGATCCAAAAATAAGAAAAATTATTAGGGAAGTAGCGACATTTGATTTATAATTGGATTAATTTATACTTTACTAAAGTATACAAGGTGCGAAGTAGTACAAATGTAATGAAATATATTAGATACTAGTTGTATTCTGCGAATTTGTTCACGTAGATTAAGATATAAAGTATGCTATTATGTTAATCAAGAATATAGTTTTGATATAGTCTATTTTTATCTATCTAAGAACATCTAGCTGTTTGTGTAATTGTTACACAATAACTTTTATATTATCAGTGTTTGGCTTGTAAAAGGCTATAGAGCCAATGATATTTTATTTTTCCTCTATATAAATATTTTATAAAATTCTATAAGAAAGTTTTACATAAAAACAAATATAAATTAATTTATTTTCTATATAGAATTACAGACTAATCGTGATAAATCTCATCCCCAGCTATTTTTGATGTAAATCTGGGTAGGCCCACGTCAATTGCAATGAAAAAAATCATTTATATGGAATCTATGCAACCCAAGAACGTTTTAGGTCAAATCGATCGATCGAAATAATTTAGGTTGAATAAATTTTAAAATTTTACCCTATAATGTATTTTAGCTATTGATATGAAGGCCTATTTTAAATAAGTGTACAATATTATGAATATTCATTTATTTTATTATGTGTTGATACTTCAAGGTGGTTGCATAGATTCAATTTTATAGTTTCGTCAATGTAAATGGAGTTTTATTATTATTATATCAGCCGTTAACTGTCCACTCCTTCACATACACTTCATAACCTTCAAGAAAAGAGCATATTCTTTTTAAATGGCCAGTAGCACACCTACAATGCCTTTGGTGTTGCGGGTGACCACTTGTGATTAGGTGGCGGTAGTCACTTACCATCAGGTGAGCCGCATGCTCGTTCGCCCCTGTGTTATATAAAAGAAAACCTCCCCTATTAGGGTGTTATGCCAGTAGTGGCCACGCTTAAAAGGCAGACTGGTGGTTTAGTTTTGGTGATGTTTTAAGAGAAATGCTGCTGCCCATTTGTTGACTATTAAATTCTTTTAGTCGCCTCTTACGACACCCACGGGAACGGAGGGAGTTGCCCATTCTATGTAGGGACTATGGTCCCTACATAGAATAGGCCTAATAATAAATTAATGATTACTGGCTCCGTAAATTTGGGCTTAAAAGAGCCGCCTTACATAAAATTATTAGGTACTTGTGAAAACAATCTTAAATTCTAACTCATTTCCCATTTCCAAACAAATAAAATAAAACTAATTAAGAAAATGTTTTATTTATATTATTTATATTGATAAATGTGCATGATAATAATTGATCAAGCACGGGTTTTTTAATGACCTTGTAATGGACATAGTATATTTAAATAAATACACATTGTGAACAAAACATGTGAACAGAGATTTAAAAGTGTCAACTGTTGAGTTTTTTGCGAACCCGTCACAACAGATAACAAAATTCTGAAACCTGAATTCTTAAAAAAATTACGACTTAAAAGTGCTTATAAACAAGTATATTTGAATAAAGATGATTCGAATTTGAATTCAAAAATGTTCGCCGATATTTGTCTATTCAATTAATTATTCTTGGCCACAACAGAATATTAGTATTTTGCTCTTTTGAGTGCAAAGCAATAAACTGAGTTGTGACCCTTTTTTTGTTACTATGGCACACGCATGAAAGAAGGTAATTGTTGTTTTAAATATTTTGCTTTATGTTTTTTTGTTGCTTTTTTTTGTCTTTCCATTCTTTTATCTCGTTTTACTTATTTATTTTTTTATACAACTTAGAATGGCTAACAAGCTGACGGCCCACCTGATGGAAAGTGGTAGCTGTCGTCTATAGATATGAGCAGTGCCATGGACATAACAAAGTATACTGTTTCGCCCATGATTACCCCCATGCGTTGCCATTCCTGAGGACTCAGGTGTTATTCCTCTGTACCCAGTAAATTCACGTCATATCCCACCCTTCAAACCGAAAGCATGCCATGCACAGCCATGCAAACACAACTGCTTCACGGTAGAAACACGAATGGGACAGTGGTACCCAAGCAATCGACTTTTGTACAAAGTCTCCCTTTGTGTGCTGTAAGTAATGCAAATAAATTGTCTATCTATTTATATATTCTGATTATAATTTTTAACTAAGCTACCGGTATACGTTAATCGTAGTAAAAAGGTAAAATTGTCAACTAATAAGACAGGCGTGTAGGTTTACGAGACTATAAATATAAACATCGGTTCATTGCCATGTCATTAAATTCATTCATTCTCATATTTTATATTCATTAATAAACGCATACGAAAAATCCTGTTGTGAAATTTCCGCATTCAATATTACCCAAATAAAGTAAGTTCTTGTATCGAATTCACACAAAGTAGCTTGTTTTATAGATTTTTGGATATACAACCACTTACCGACTTCAAAAAGAAGGAAGTTCTCAAATCACTTGAATTTATTTTTCTATGTTTGTAACTTCATAACTTCGTTACTTTTAAATCCATTTGGGAAATTCTTTTATTATTTGAAAGGACCTACATACAGATCATTCTGTTAGTAATTTTATTAAAATACGTTCAATAGTTTAATTTTTAGACCAAAATAACTGATTTTTCGTCCGAAAATAACTGTTAAATAATATTTTTATTTTATAATTAAAATAATTTGAATATATTAAAGTACAAAAGAGCCTTTGTCCCATTCGTGTTTCAACGTGAAACAGTTTGATGGCTGTGTTATGTTAAATAATATATTTAAATAAATATTATAAAAAGAAAAATTTTTTTTGACGGTAACCACTTTCCATCAGGTGGACCGTCAGCTTGTTTGCCATTCTAAGTTGTATAAAAAAAAAAAAGATTAACTCATAAAGTAAAAAAAATATCATAATTATGATAGAATTTCATTTAGGTAAGTGTGTTAAATCGCTAATTATTATACTGCATAGCTTACGACATGTGGTTTGTTTTGTTTAAAGTTTAAAATTGTTTTGGAAAATGCAGAAAAAGTCCTGCTATAGATTTCGCAAAGACTCGTCACTTCATCTTATCAGGCCTTTAACTGTCCACTATTGTACATAAGTCTCCCTCTTGGGGGGTTTTGCCAATGGTTGCCACACTTGGGAGGCGGATTAGCAATCGCAGTCAGGCTTTACAGATGTTTTAAGAGGGATGCTGCAGTCTATCTCTCGCCCATCCTTAGTCGGCACTTACGAAATAGAAAGAAAGTGGTGGTTTATTCTATGCTGGGGCCATACGGCCAAGTAGTGTACTAAATGCGTTCAAGTCAAATGTAAATGAAATAATAAGTAATATACTTGTATTATATAGTGTGTCATTAGCTGCTAAATTAAGTAACATCAAAATATTCTTTATTGTACACAAAAGGTTATTAAAACGTAAAAACAAACACAATAGTGCACAAAGTCGAGCTTATCTCCAATAGAGATTTCTTCCAGCAAACACAATATGAGAAAACTGACAGTTCATTAGTAGTTACAGTCACACATGTGTACCAATCGATTTAAATGTTATAGTTAAAAATAAATAAATAAAATGTCTTTACAATTGAAAAGACCAATAGGTATAAATAAATAAATAAAAATATATATAAGTAAATACATATAAATAGATACATATATATTATATATAATACACAAATATAATAAGTACGTACTGATGTACGCATATTACAGATATTTTGACGGTCATATTTGAATATTTTATTTCGTAAATACATCCTTGTTAACATTATAAACGCGAAAGTGAGTTTATTTGTTTGTTATCTTTTAGCGCCTTAACTGTTTAACCAATCGCTATGAAATTTAGTATCCACATACTATATGGAGCGAAGAAGGATATAGGCTTCTTTAAACCCCGAGCAATCAACATGATCCAGTCACACGGACGAAGTCGCGCGTAAAAGTAGTATACATGTTATCCAAAAAATACTATTCTTAATACAAATGTTGGGGGAAAGAGATTGTTAGTAATGGAGACTGAGAATCCCATTGCTAGTAATATACCCAACCAGGTCGATCTCCTCGTGGTTCCCCCTGGTAACTATCATGGTTAATTCCTGATGAATTCATCATGATGGGCTAACTGGCCTGTTTTCATTCTCATCTATCACCCTTCACTGGTGCTCCGCCAGCATATCCCGTTAGCGCAGGCGGGGTTACCATACCATTTTCACCCATCAAAAAAATACAATTTTTTATATTGTGCTAGGATTGAACTTACTATCATTAGTAAAGGTGTTAACCACTACACCGTGACCGGTAAGGTCGCCGTCATAATTTTATTTGGTTTGCACTTGCGATTGTTTTCAGTGCTAGTATTTTTTTTAATAACCCTATTTTTTTATTTTAATATTAATTATATTTTTATTTTTCTTATTAAAATAATATAATAAAAGATTATATGCCCCGAAAAAAACTGATGCCAGTTGTGATAAAACCAGTTAGTTATATTAGTCTAAAAACTAAACTAACGAAACCAATTTTGATATTTTTTTTATGGAACCAATCTATAAGTTCTTTCAAATCAAAAAGGAAGTTTCCAAATTGGTTTAGAACCGACTGCGTTATGAGGTTACAAACATAAAAATATAAAAACGAAATAAGAACCTCATATTTTTTGAGGTCTGTTGTAAAAGCAGAAGATTTTCTAAATCGATTGCTCCTTTTGTTTGAATACAAAAATGTTTGTGATATTTTTCTAATTTAATAAAATTGTA